GTAATGTTCGTTGATGTGGTTACTTTGTTCTTTACCTTTTATTTTGAAACCTGAAACTGCTTACTTGGATCGATATGTCTTACATAACGAGTGTCGTCAAGGAACCCTTCCGGAACTCCTGGTCTTATCAGTTTTATTAATATTTTCATAGTTTCATCGTAATATAGTTTGAATTTTTTGTCATGTTTACTGTTTAATACAGACATATGATCAGGTAAATTATGCCTTTGTCTTCATATGCTTCAATGAAATGCCTACTATGAAACAGCATACCTTAGTAATAATGTAGTTTAGTTCTATAGAAAATTTTCACGATGCCTTAGCAATATTCCAGCTGGGTCCAACAGTCACAGAGCCAAGTCTGTATTCTTCTTCTGTCTTGTACTAGGTCCTATTGAAATTGTTCACGACGTCTACATAAACATGAAACAGTATTTGAATTTTTAGTATCTCCCACGATAAACGAGTTGCTTACATTGAATTAAGAATTGATTTAAAATTTGAAAGAATAACTTTTTACGGATCAATGACAATCGTAGCATTTATGGTCTCTCGTTTATACAAGAAAGTCACTTTCGGTTGTCTTACAAAGTTAATATAAAAGATCAACAAAACATATTAATGAACACATATAAATCATCAAATGTGATCCATCCAGTCCATTCCCATGATCATAATCCACTGAAGCCATAAACGAAATGAGTAATGCTTTGTTTAATAGCGATTTTTGTTATTTGTAACAAAATATTGCACTGTTTGATCTCTATGCGCCATGGATATCAAATAACATTGGGACCCTCCACTAAAACACAAATCTAAACAACAAACACGGTAATCATATAATTCCTGCTTGAGTTCTAGGCTTGAGTTTCCATTCTGCTGCATATCGTTTTTGTTTGTATGAATGTAATGAAGTCTGTATTTAAACATGATAAAATAAATCATATTTTTAAAGATTCAAACAACTCCCTTTATACCGGTAACGTCAGACTAGATAAAAGTCATTTTACATTAAATTTAGGAATAGGCATGTGGTGAAGATAAAATGTAGATAAATTTAGTGATTCTTTCTAGCATCATTCATTTTTTTCGTCGCAGTCATGTCTCTCCGCAGAAGGTAAAATCGAGTGTATTCAAAATAGTCATGTCTCTCCACAGAAGATAAAATCGAGCGTATTCAAAACAGTCATGTCTCTCCGAAGAAGAGAAAATCGAGTGTATCCAAAACAGCTATGTCTCTCCGCAGAAGGTAAAATCGAGTGTATCCAAAACAGTCATGTCTCTCCGCAGAAGGTAAAGAGTGTCCAAAACAACAAAACCGACATGTTGTTACATAACCATGCGCCAAAACCTAATTCAATAACATAGGGCACAGCATGAACAAACGAAGATTTACACGAAGATGTACAAGGAAAATAAGAAGTGTAAACATCTTAAGCAACATTGACGACATCCGCCATGTAAACCTTGGTCAATTGAAATAAGTAATGTAACGTTTTCAAACATAACAAGGTATACAACAACGGAACCAAAAGGTAAATTAACGGGCATCAAGCATTTCATATGCAAAACCGAAATATTTTGTACTTTTTTGACGTATAACGCTTTCAAATATGATTGATAACTCGAGACATCAATTGTGATTGTGTTGAACCAATAAATATTCAAATTGATTAACTCCTGTTGAGTTTACGACCATGATATTGCTTAGATTGCCCTCAAAGCAGATGTTGTTTATCCTTAGAGAACAAATGGTCATTTTCTGCGTGCCCTTTCACCAAAGGTTTGCCATCGTCTGATCAATATTTCGTTAGAATAACGAATTTATGTACATTTTGTTAATAAATCTGCCCTTTTTCTGTAAGTTTTCGCCCAATATATTATTATAATCGGGTAAATATACACTTGTCTAATTCATTCATTTAATTTCCCGATATACACGATTTTGTGTACAGTGTATGAGAGATTTGTATGTGTTGGTGGGCTGTATGTAACAAGTCTTTCAGTTCCCCACTTGCAAGGGCAATTTACATTTAAATCAATCATGTGCATTCGGAGGATCATACAATCCGATACATCACGAAAAAATTAACTTCATCTTCAGTGACAAAGGAATGAATCATCTGGACTATGGGAATATACGGGAGTTAAAATCAAAAATATTCGTAGAGAAAAAAATCCCTCTATTGTGCAATACCCAGTTTAGAACTTATTGTGTTATTTCTATACGATGATATTTTAAGATCACCAAAATGTCGCCGGAAGCATTATCTCCTCCTGGTAACGGTCCGAGTATAGTAGGTACAATAACAAATTAAATGTCACATTGGCTGCCAAACAGTCACCTCATTGACACACAATTGATCTCCATATCGTGATATTTATATAACTGGGAATGATAATAACCTGACGACGTGTTTACATTTATCAGCTACTGGTAGTGACTGTATCACCCGTCACCAACATCATTTTGAAATCAGCTGTGTAATCATCTACGTCCGATGACTCAATAAATCTCAGCTATGGTGGCATGTACCTGACATTTCCTCTTTTCCGCTTTACTCCGCGAAAAGACGTAAAAAAGACAGGTGTGATAATTGCAATGTTCAATGCAATAGTAGAGTATTTGTTCGCTGATTTGTAAAGAGTCCCTAAACCTTAACGACTGACAAACCTGTAAGCTGTACCCTCCTTTCCGGATGTTGTAAACTTTGGAAACGCACTGCTATCATAGAAAGAAAATGGATGCCTCGTAGTTTCATTCGAAGTTGTATTGACATACCTGTACAGAATGCCGAGAGTGAAACCACTGAAAGAAGCTTTCTCAGAAACCCTCCATGAAATTTCATTTTGTCACAGACAGTTTGATTGGCCAAGTCTGACACCACTTAAATCCTACCCTCAATTTAAAGCCTGAAAAAATCCTTCTTTGGAGAGTTATTTTGCAGCTATTACAGAAACAATTTCTATAATAATGTATATATCCTTCAGGTCAAAAGGTATCATCACCTGTGTTGAGGATGTTGTAGCAATAAGACCACAAAACCCAGATATTTATTGATATTTACTTCCAATAAAACGAATCTGTACATGACCATACCGACACAATCACCAAAGTTAACAATTACACGTGGAGCTCGTGCATCTCCTAATTGCTAAATTGTTGTATTTTTTCTGTTCTTATATACTTCTCGCTAAAACTCTATTGTTACCTACAGTCCTCTATACAGTAGTGTAGCTACACACTATGGTATGACAAACACGTGTGAACATTTTGTCGTTTACTTCACAACTCATAGTTAGTTTTGAACCATATCACTTGAAATCGATATTGTCTGTTTACATAATGTTGATAAGTTCAGGACATCCTGAAATGCTTCACAAACAAATGTAATACGAAGTTGGATGTGTTTGATACTCATTAGTTTGCATGTTGGTTCCGTAGTTTGATACCTTGTCCTCATTTGAGAACGTGACATTACTTATTTGGATAAACCAAGATTTACCTGGCGGACGTCGTCGGTTAAGGAGAAGACGCGTATTCTTCCGGAACACCTGGTGTTGTTCCCCTTGTGTTTTAGGAGTCTATGTTTAACTCTCTCTTTTGTTCATTTGTTGTCCTGAATTATTGAATTTTAGTTTGAATACTGATTCCGCTCACATGTTTGCATTTCTTGTTGGTTTTTATTTGTATCTAAAACAACAAATAAAATACTGACATTTTAACAGAATCTTAATTAAAAGTAAGATTCAATGACAATAAGATAAGAACAAGAGAAAGATTTAGACGGAGATCCCAGAAAACAAAAAAAATTGGAAAGAGCAGGCCATCCAGAGGATAAGCTTCTTCTGCTTCATCGTAGACACTCGTCATGCAAATCTCGGTCAGTGGGAGTAAGCAATGTCACGTTCCGAAATGAGAATAGTGTCAACACAACAGCATACTAACGAGCATCAAATAAATCAAAGTTAATATCATTCCTTTATCTCTTGAAACCCTGTGCTGTAAGTTTGTCTGTCAGGTGACAGAATTTTGCCGAAATCATGACATTTGGAACAAGCCATTAAATATCAGGACAGCATAGTTTGGGGATACATTGATGATTGAAACATTCACTGAAATAAACTATTTTACAATCAAATTTTATCAAACATATGAACGAATGATGTGATGACCGTCAATCAATAGATTCTCAGGTAATTGTATTTTGAAAAACTTGCGTACATCGGTTGTCATCTCCTGAAGTTCATGAAAAAGCTAGAATGTAAACAATGGGAGTGTCTGCTTCTTTCTCTTATCTTAACTTATCAAATTCATTTTTCTCCTGGCACACCTATCAGACCTTATCTTGTGTTCCTATCTAACGACTGACACATGAAAATAAAACGAGATCACTTTATGTTCTTATTTCAGTGGTTTTTGGATTTTCAAATTCTTTTTTCAAGGCCAATATAATTTCATGCAATTTTAGTTCTATTTTGTCCTTGTTAACGTCAGTTTACAAGCATACCGGAGTGACTTGATAGTCTATTACCAGACACCCAAGTCATGGAACTTCATCTCTCCACAACTACGTCTCCCGGGTCAAAACAAATCGAACAGGAGGTCTAATTAAAAGAATAGATATATGCATTGCTATGTACACTATAAACCTTCAATATAGACTTGGTTCATATCACTACTTTTACTTCTTTAATCAAGAAACGATTCACAGCGTTGTTTTATTATTCATAGAATGACTAACCGAAATCAATTGAAGAATGCGCTGGTGCAGCGCGTCTGAGTATCGACCGAGCCAGTATCTCACCCAGCATCCGATGTAGCACGAGGCAAGTCCACTCACGCCGGCTAGAACAGACGAGAACTTTTCATCGAGAGGCGATCCGTGTGCCCTTTGGTGCCAAATGCAGTCTGACTCTTTCAGGACGACAAAGTTCAGTGTGTTATGTTAGTAAAATATTGGTGTGATATCGTATAACCAGAAAAGACTGAATTCAGCATGGATACTCCAACATTACACAGACTAGCATGGTGCGTTCTTGTGTTCATGTACCTAACATCAGCCCACGCCGCGGATACCGTGACCAAAGACACAGGTACGTGGTTGTTTTAGTATTATCTTATTAGCAATATTACCCGTACATTTACCCACTGTGACAACAGAAGGTCCATATCCCAAAGCGAAAAACAAATTCAATTAATACGGATTCTTTTATATAACAGCTTCCAGTAATTAATTGAAACATAAATCAATATCTTTGATATTTCACCATACATTGTTTCTACAAGTTGTTACACCACATACAGCGCAAACAGTAAAACCATTTGACGAAACATTGCCAATACAATTAACTGTTGAGTTGAGAGACAACGCTAGTAGAATTTGAATTGATATTTACCGAAGCATGTGTCAGTTATTGGGATATTCTGTGTCTATACACATACATGTATATCTTGTTTAGCTCGTGATGTAGAACCCCACATGAACGTATGTATAAGGGCCGGAGCCAAAATTAGAGGCTTCCGTGACAGGAGGCTTCCGATGCTGACCCCATCCATCCTTCTTCGCCAAAACAAGCCCGATATCGCCCTGTAACAGCGATGATTAATTTATTTCAAGAATTGGTCGATGGAAATTACGGATGTTTTGTGTGTATCAGGGATGTATTGATTTAGGATGTTGGTGATCGGAGTTTTATATTATCAACAAATCCCGAGACACGGCACATTATGTATCTATATACAGCCGCGTGATGCGTTGTTTTTCTCAGTCTGGAAAGGTTCCGGTAAACTGCTATATTGTACACTATAAAACACACAGTAAAGCATTTTTTATTCATATAGATGGGATTCACAGTTTGTATTTTTAAACCTCCATTAAAATCAATGCATAGTCCGAACGTCGTGTTACGCTTCTACCAAATTTTCATTTCAGGAAAAACCAATGCCAAATAACAGCATATATAACAATGTTCTGCATCAACACTTCCTAAAATGTACAGTGTTATTTAACGTCTTAGAGTATATATATATCGTTTCTTAAAGTCATGATATATCAAATTACAATGTAAAAAGTATTGTTCTAAGACCGAATAAGAAATGAAAGATTTATTGCCTGCTTAAGTGTATATTGCCAACAATAATGTTCAGTTAAGATACAAAATTTTGCCATTTGAAATACATTGTGAATTTGTTTTCAAAGGGCTGTTAAAAATCAAGAATCGATTTATTTTAACGAGTGCACATTAAATAATTAGAGAAAACCCCGATAATGCTTTGGAACCGCCCCTATGCTCAACTGTGTTTTCCCTTTTGAGAATTTCAATTATTACCACTTTTGTTTTAATATGAGATGAAAGCCTGAACATGTTTTAGACAATTATAGCGCAGCAGTACGGTGTCCCGGTATGTCCTCACTAGAAATGTTATTTTACCATGTGTGTTGGTCGTCCATATTCCCGGAGGGAAGTAAGTGCCAAGCGACGGAACCGGAGCATAAGCCCCAATATGACCTTGCTGTAAACATATCTCCAATCAGGCCTTCTGTCAAAAGATATTCCCAACAGTGCATTCCGTAAATATATCCCGAATAAGACATTTTTTCAATGTATCCCTACAGGGCATTCTTTAAATATATCCAAATAAGGAATTCAGTAGATACATCCTACTAAGGAATTCTTCAGATATCCTGTAGATATCCCAAATAAGGCATGCTGTAAAACATACATCTCGAATAGGGCATGCTGTAAAACATTCATCCTAAATATGGCATTATGTAAAACATACATCCCGAACACAGCATTTTGTAAAACATACATCCCAAATAAGGCATTCTGTAAAACATGCATTTTGAATAAGACATTGCTTTTAACATGCATCCCAAATAAGGCATTCTGTGAAACACACATCTCGAATAAGGCATTCTGCAAAACATGCATCCCGAATTAGTCATGCTGTAAAACAAATATCTCGAACAATGCATTCTGTAAAACATACATTTCTAATATGGCATGCTGTAAAACATACATTTCTAATATGGCATTCTGTAAAACATACATTTCTAATATGGAATTCTGTAAAACATACATCCCAAATAAGGCATTCAGTAACTATAATCCTAATTATGAATCCTGTAAATACATTCCCAAAAGGATATTTTGTAATTCCCAATGGGACATTTTGCAAATACATTAAAACTGAGGTAATTTGTTAAGTCCATAAATAATGCTGCAGTTGGCGTCAGCCTGACAGGGTTAAATACTTAAATAATTCCATCTGTATATACATGTATATATATCGCATAGCTTTTCTGCAATAGGACAAAATTCATTATTAGACATTGATGAATCAAATCCTACATTGGTTAATAGAAATAGTTAAGAAGGCACAAAAACAAACAACAAACTTGCAACTAAGCATGATGTCATGCCAACAATGATAAAATGGCCTGGAATGTGTCGAGTAAATCCGTATCAATTCTTGCTGTAGAAGTAGAAATTAGGAGGCCATTGAAGCACTGAACGAATGCTCAATTTGCTATAAAATTTAAACAGCAAATAGTAAATAATGAATCCGTAGATGGCAAATCACCTTTATAATTGCCTTCTCAGCTTTGGTATTGCTTACGTAATCTACAAACAAGACAGAATAGGTTCACCGTTTATTGGTCAATAATAGAGAAATTTTCGATTAGAAAATTGCATCTACAAAAGAGGACAAAACATACATATATCAACCTGAATTTCTGACAGTTTCTAAAAATAATTCTTAAAATTAAGCTAAATGCGAATTCTGACATTTATTAAAATATATTGTGCTGATATTAAAGAACATGATTATCTCGGAAGTTGATTATCATAAGCCAATTGATCATGCCATATACATATGTATGAGATACATATGTACCTAAATCTTATTAAAAAAGCGATTCAGTTATAGAGACTGGTAATTACTTTCTGTCATCACAGAACACTAAAACAATTAACAACACACGTTTAATGGTTTCATAAACAGCTTTCAAGGTATCTTCTTCCAAATATCACATAATGAAACGTTTATATCAACTTAAATACCGGGGAAACGAGACTCGACAATATCAATGTACACCTCACTACACACAAATGATAGCAATGCAGAGTCAGTAAACAGGTTTATCGTCGTCGAAGGACACTTTTCCTCGTCCGACCTCGTGCGTGCGACGCGTTCATGTAATTATCGGTTAGAATATGGTTCACAATTTTCGGATAACCGTCATTGCAATTTCTGCTGATGTAGGTACATCATGTACATAACTGTGTTTACTTACACTTTTGTGTTTTCTTAACAATGCCAAGCCTTTTGTCATTCCTTTCAGTTTCAGCTGAAATTGCGTTGCTGCAGATGGTAATTCCAGGTTACATTTACGTTGTATGATAAAATGACCTTTTTATTTTAACATCGTATGAGATTATTGTATGTCTGATAGTATTATCTATCATTATCTGTATTACCTTCTACTTATCTATCATCACTTTTTGTAGCATTCGCTAGCAAAAATAGACAGGGATCAGATTGATAAAACACGGTTGTGAAAACAATGTAAACAGAGAACACTTACTTCATACCTGTAAATCAGACTAATGTAAAAGACAGTTACATAGAAAACAAAACACGTTATAGAGATAATATTTACCGGGGATTTCAGCAACAATATATATTACTCATGTGGATAATATTTTGACATCTTCACTTGTGCGCTAGGATACATGTAATAATATTTCAGACACGAGTGTAATAAATGTGTTATTAATGAATGGGCCGATTAATTCCCTCTGTTTGTTACGCCGAGAAAATCTCTAGATATATGTATATAGACTTACACGTTCTATCTACCATGTTTTATTGGTTCTGAAAGGTCATAAGTAGGTCGTTTGGCTAGAGAAAATCGAACTGTGAATGAATGAGTTTTTTATAGAATACAATACTTAGACAAAAGGTTCCATGGTAATAAAGAGCACTGTTAGAACAACACGGAATTCAGAGATATCCTGGCTGTGAGACAATGGTGTGCAGAACTTTAGTCTTGCGTTCAGAAATCATCACAAGGTCCATCGGTTATAAAGGTAATAGCTGGTGGACATATAATGGCAGATGAAGTTGGTGTAGAATCTTCGATGAAATGAAATTGAACACCAAACTTAACGCTGTGTATGGTGTGTTTAGAGACATCTAGATAAGTAACCCTTTGACCTTTCGTCAGTATCTGGTTGTCACTTTCTATCTCCCGGGAATTTTATTCTCAATTTTTTTTTTTTTTTTTTACATGTTTCTTTTTTTCAAACTGGTGTAATTCGTTTCTATTAGATAGAGTTGTTGTATTGTGAAACTAGATATTACTAGACTAAGCCCAGTATATAATCAGACAAAATTATCTGGCCACGTGATCGGTATTTTATAAGGAAGGATTTTATATTGTCTATACAAACCTTGTCGGTATCAAAAGTTTCCAGAAAATGTATCAGTTTGAGATAGTTAAAATCAATGATCAATAGGAACTCTTGTATTTTATTTTCATATAGTGTTGTAAAAGTGCGTCTTGACGTCGCGGTGTTCTTCCTCGGCTCAGGTTGAAGAACGTGATCTTATTTGTTTCATGTACACATAGTTATATATGTATAACGTAGGACTTTTTCTATTAATTGTGCCGCCATTTCTTATCATTGAGCTCGACATTTGCTGTTCGTTTGTTTTTTTATTTGCCAACGAAAGTTTGCTCTGAGATATTGGTTGCTGAAAAAAGCTGATATTAACATCACCACATTTACTGTTGAACTGAAATAAAATATATTTATTGCACCACCGGATTAATTTTAAGTCATACCAATGGCCACAATTACGTCAGAAATCTACCACATATTCCCTCCAAATGTTGCTTAATGGTCATATATGATATGATTACGTATCGTGTTATAGACACAACCGTCTAAATAGTGCTCAATGACCCTAATTTATGTAGTTGTACCACACCACCGCGAGACTGTGCGTTGTGAGGTTGTTTTAAGAGTGCTCTTAGCTGGCTTAAGTTTCCAGCTCCATCACGTATAAAGGAATAGGTCTA